AGCGCGTAATCCAGGAGCAAAGGCTCCGGGCTGGCTCCCGTAAGGCGAAGGCCTGGGTGCGAGGTGATGTTAGCACTTTGAGCCGACGCCAGAGACCTGAGGTGGTGTAGACATGGGTGTGGACAGAGGCTTTCGGAGCGGCTGCTGCTCGCCCAGCACGCATGCTGCCATTCGGGCTGGTCTTTGTCGGGGGCACCCGCCCTGCACCTGACACTCTGCCTCCGACTGCCCTTCTTTGCACACCCCTGCCGGCCGTCTTTCACAAGCAGGGGGGCGGGGTGGGGAGGGGAGAAGCCCCGGTCTGTAGGGTTTCCCAGCTTCTGCGGTGTGTTCGTTCCCAACACGGCCAATTCCAGGCTGTGGAAACGATATCCGTGAACAGTCAGGGAGAGACGCATAGCGGCTGTCATGTCCTATTTCCCCCAAATGGATACAACAGATGTAAGTAACCGCCAGGACATAGACGATGGTAAATACAGTAAAACAATTACGAAGGGATGAGTTTTGAGTATTTGTTACTTTATTTAATTTGAGAGAGAGAAAGCAAGCATCAGCCAGGGAGAGGGGCAGAGAAAGAGAGAGAGAGGGAGAAGGAGGGAGGGGGAGACAGAGAGAGAGAGAGAGAGAGAGAGAGAGAGAGAGAATCTCAAGCAGTCTCCATGTTCAATGCGGAGCCCGACTCAGGGCTGGATCCCAAGACTCTGGGATCATGACCTGAGTTGAAATTAAGAGTTGGGCGCTTAACTGACCGAGCCACCCAGGCGCCCCTTATTATCGTTTATCAAATAGAATTTATTGAATTGTAAGTTTAGATAATTTAAAATTTTCTGTTAGCCGTTACGTTTGACAGCAGCTCATAGAACCCATGAAAATGTAGGGAGCGGCCCCTGTGAGCTGACACAGGCTGCTGCGGGCACGGGTGCCAGAGGAGGGCCTGGTGGGGGCCCGGGGGCCCCCCCCCCCCCCCCCCCCCGTGCCCCTCAAGATCACTGCCCCGAGGCCTTTGCTCCGTCTCCCCTCTCTGAGCTCATGCTGTGCCCTGCCCCCTCTTCCCTCTCCAGGACGTCCCCCGCTGACCTCAGTGCCTTCGGCAGCCTTTCTTGCTGCCAGACCGACCTCCTCCAGCCCATTGCTCTGGGGCTCCTGTTCCCTGGAAGGTGGTCTCGGCAGCCCTGTCCTGCCAGCGACAACTGCCCAGCGTGCCCTGCTTTCCTCCAGGGTCCCTGTCCTCCTCCCCCGAGACCTCCCCCTGGTCTCCTGCACCAGCCCCTCTTCCTTCTCTCAACCCCCCTTCTGCCCTCAGTTTCTTATTTCTCTAGTCCCCTCCTCTGAAAGCCCGTCCGCTCCAGGTCCTCAACTGTCCCCTTAGACCGGGGACTCTGTGTAGGTCGCTCGAGGGGGCACTTTCTCTCAGTCCCACAGCCTCCTCCAGAAAGTCTGCCCCTCGCTTCCCTGCGGCGCTGGTGCTCCGCCCTGGACTGTGGCAAAGGTTGGGAATTCTCCGTAGAAGATGGGCAGCGACTCGGGGGCCAGTGGAGCCGGGTCTCCATAGTGTTGCCCCCGCGGTATCCATGCGGCCTGCGGGGCCTGGAGCTGACACTAGGCCTTCCTCGAGTGCACACCTGCGGTCATAGCCGGCAGAGGCAGAAGACAGGACCTCCCCGCGGCCCCTGGTGACTGTCTCCCCTGCCTCTCAACTCCTTCCCCCATGTTCCCTTTAGACAAGACCGCTGCAGCGCTTACTAGAACCCCTGCTCCTCTTGTTTGGATTGACCAGCCAGGCCTTAATCCAGGAACCCTAGAGACACTCCGCCCGCCCAACCGTAGGAAAGGCACACGTCCCGGGCTTGCTCTCTCGTTCCGCTGGCACCCCACCACGACCTCCCTGCCTGACCTCCCCAGGGTCAGGACCTGTGAGTAACAACCTTCTCTGTTTCACTTTCTCTTGCTGTTGCCCCATTTAACAGTTTTTTAAAAACTTTTTTAAAATTTTATTTTAGAGAAAGGGAGAGAGTGTGAGCAGGGGGTGGGGGGGATGGGACAGAGGGGGAGAGAGAGAGACAGAGAGAGAATCTTCAGCAGGCTCTATGCTCAGTGCAGAGCCCAAGTGGGACTTGATCCCATGACCCTGGGATCATGACCTGAGCCGAAATCAAGAGTCAGACGCCAGGCTGAGCCACCCAGGCGCCCCAACAAATGTTAACAAAATCACCACATTCCATGTCCAGACACAGAGTAGTGCCCCAGGATGTTTGTTGCACTGAATCTAAATATTACTCCCCGGCGGAAAAACAACCTTGAAAGATTTGGCCCTGAGGAGGGAGGTAAGTTCCGAACGCCTTCAATGTGGCTGATTGTTCCGGCCATGCCCTGGGTCTGTTCACTTTCCCCGTATCCCCATCTGTCCACGCGACCTTCTGGCCATGGCTGTGCGGCCTGCTTTGGCCAACGGGCGAAGAGTAAGCATGAGGCAGGTAGAAACCTGAGCAGCACGTGGGCCTTATCTTACGGCAGTTCGAGCCCTGAGACCGCCCGTGAACGAGCCCAGGGCTAGCTTGCTGCGGGAGGACAGGCCTCATGGAGGAGAACTCAGGACCCAGCCAACGGCCAGCTGTCGGACACGAGCGAGGCCCTTGACTGCCCTCTGGCCACAGACACACACACCTGGGTCCAGCCAAGTGCAACAGAACTGCCCAGTTGTGGCCCAGGCCCCGTCAATGAGCCACAGAATTGTAAAGTTGACAAACTGTTGGTTTTAAGTCACTCCGGGGTGGGGGTGGGGGGGTAGTTTGTTATGCGCAAAGCAAAGGGAACCACTCCTTAGCACAAGGTACCACAAACAGCGTCTGGAGAGGTGAAGACAGGCAGGCAGGCAGGAAGGCCGGCCGTCCAGCTATGAAGCTGTGCTACTGGCACACTGGGAGGGCCCAGGAGGATCCCCCAGATCTCGGGCCAGGATAAGGGGGAGGCAGTGAGGCATTCGCTTCACACACAAGATGTAAGGCGGTAGCCCAAAACTTAGTAATCAAGATAAATAATATATATATATATTTTTTATTTATTTTTTTCCAACGTTTATTTATTTTTGGGACAGAGAGAGACAGAGCATGAACGGGGGAGGGGCAGAGAGAGAGGGAGACACAGAATCGGAAACAGGCTCCAGGCTCCGAGCCATCAGCCCAGAGCCTGACGCGGGGCTCGAACTCACGGACCGTGAGATCGTGACCCGGCTGAAGTCGGACGCTTAACCGACTGCGCCACCCAGGCGCCCCGATAAATAATATTTTTAATGCAGTATTTAAAAAAATCAAATCAGCAAACTCTGGCTCATGGGCTGGCTGCCCTTTTCGCTAAAAAAAGCTTTATTGGAATTGGGGCCGGGATCAGGATTTAGTAAACACAGGGTCAGATCTTGTTTTTATTACAAAGTTTGGCTTTTTTGGTCATGGAATTTTTGCATTAGTCTTATTTGTGTATTTGTTTTTTATTTAGTTCTTTAGATTTGGGCTAAGTCCTTCCCAACCTACTGACTGCTGGTATCTGACTGGATCTCAAACTTCTACCTATTATATTCCCACCCAAGGTCAAAATTTAAGCTGTTGTCAGATAGTTGCACCTTACTGTGAATGAAACAAAATGAGATCAAGTTCTGCTCAGGAGATGGGGCGCCTGGGTGGCTCAGTCAGTTGAGCGTCTGACTTCGGCTCAGGTCGTGATCTCGCGGTCCATGGGTCCGAGCCCCGCGTCGGGCTCTGTGCTGACAGCTCAGAGCCTGGAGCCTGCTTTGGATTCTGGGTCTCCCTCTCTCTCTGCCCCAACCCATTCATATTCTGTCTCTGTTTCTCTCAAAAATAAATCAACATTAAAAAAAATTTTAATTTCTGCTCAGGAGAAATTAGGAGGCCAGGTAACTGGAGAGGTGGGGTCAGCTTCCAGGGGAAGAAGTGATCTTTCTGCAGGCCTACCATTCTCGAAATTTCCACAGGCTCTCCACCATGGCTCCCTGGGTAGGTGTCATGGGCCAATCCTAGTGGCACTACGACTAAATGTCCAGATGACCTTTGAAACCATTTGGGTTCATTCATCTACTCGATTCTTTCCCCCATAGGTCGGTCACGTTCATGTCTGACCCCGGCAAACTCAGTGAGGCTAGCAGATAGCTGGGGTATTTGGGAAGAGGTTGCTGGTATTTTACCAAGCCTCTTGCTAGCCATCAGCCGTGGCATGTGGACGTGTGTTGCAGCGAGAGGCGTCTCCCAGGGCGTGGTGCAGAGGCTGGACAGTATTTACTTTCCCCAAAGAACCACCCCAACCACACCTGATGACTTCAGTGCAGTTTGATCCAGAACTGGATACTCCCTGAATCGCTAAAAGATTGTCTTTTTTTCCCCCTTAAAGTCACTAGACGTTTACAAACCAGACTTTAGCTCATCTGCAGGTTTGAGGGAGAAACAGCAGTTGCCTTTTCACCATGGAGAAGGGGGGGAAACTGAGGACTCTTCCATTCCCTCTGCATTTCTGGAGACGGGGCTGCTCCCACACGAAGGCAGGGGAAAGGCCGCGCCAGTCAGCGGCATCCGAGGAATCTGAAGGGAGTGGATTTACTGGGGAGAACAGGAGAGACTTTTCCATTACGTTCCTCCGCAACCACTTTTCAAAGTGTCACCGTGGAGTGATCCCATTTCAGGGACCCGGTCTCTGTCCACATCGATAGTACCTGTGATAAGTGTGGGTGTTTTCTCTTCATACCTCCACGTCAGGAGTCGCCGAGCGCCTGGAGTGCCTTCCCAAGAAGAAGGTAAGGCCTTGTTCTCCACAGCTTTCTTGCCCAGGAACAGAGGGGCTCACACGTTTCCAGAGAATCCAGATGCGGCTTCCGGGCCAGTCACGTGACCACAGAGTTCTGACGTGCCCGGCCTTGTGCCACTGCCAAAAACAAGATTAACCCAGGATCCTGGCCCGTGACAAGTTTACGGATGTCGTGGGGACAACCTGGTGACTGGCCTGCTCTACCACTCTTCTGCTTCCCTCCTCTGCTCGCTCTCTTGAGGAGCTAGGAGGCCGTCGAAAAATGAAATCTTCTCTATTTACACCCAGCGGGACCACAGGGATGTCTTCTCTAAAGGGCATCGCCATGGCAGATGGAGGGCTTAGGGTAGAGTACATAACTTCACACACACGCACGCACACGCACACACACGCCCTACCACACGCAAGGACCATCTAAATATTCAGTTTATTTCAGTATTTATACTTGAGGAGAGGTCAGATTCTGCTACTAGTTTGGGGGACCTCGCTGGCTCGGCGGGCAAAGTTCTTTCCTTTATCCTAAGGCGTGAGCTCTGACGTCACCCACTGCAAGGGGCGAGCCTCCCCCGCTCATTTTGCCAGGGGAGCTGCTTGTGTTTACGGTCTTAAAGGAGGCAGGGGAGGGGGAAATGGCGTCAACCCTACGAGGCCTTTAAAACACGCGTGCAGAAGATCGGAAACAGCGATATAGTCCAAGCTACGTACGGGAATATATCATATTCATCCCAGATTTTAAAAAAGGAAGAATATCAAATCTGCTGCTCAGGAATATGGTTTCAGGATGCGTCTCCCTTATTCTAAATCCCTTCAGTCTCCTTCTGGCTGGACCGAGAGGAGCGACGGTTTCCACTGAGGCCAAGGCCCCGTCTCGGGCCGAGTCTCCAGTCCCTGCTCCCCCCCACAGGCTCCTGACGTGAGCAGCTCGCACCGTCTACCCAGGTCTGTTCCTGTGTGTGAGGGGCGGCCGGGGACGGGCAGGGACAGGACCCGGTGTCCCGGGGGCTGTGGGGGGCCTGCTCCTGGGCTGCCCGGAGAGCTAGCCTCGCCTGGCCGCTGGCAGACAACGGTCTCCTCCACATCTGTCACCTGCAGCTGCTGGCCGGCCGAGGAAGGGAAGCTGGCTGGTCCTCGGGCAACGGGACGGTGACACCGGCGAAGAGACCATCCTCACTTCCTGTAAGATTGGCCGCCTGGAGAAGAAAGGCGAGAGCAAGCTGCCAGCACCAAGGCGGTAACTGCACAGAGTCCCCTCTGTCCCATACAAGCCGCCTTTCAACCGGCTCTGTGCAAACCGAATACTGAAACCTTCCCTTCCCCCGGGTCACCTGCTCCGCGGCCGGGGCGTGACTCACGTGGCCACGCTCTTTCCTCTCAGGAAGCAGGCTGCTTGGCGTGGGGCTCCCAGTGAATTTTGCTGGCAATAGTTTTGCTGTTTGTCGAGGCCACAGGACATAAATCTGCTGCTAGCTGAGCAATCTACGTGCAGGCAGGGCCCCGTGGAGCCCGTCTGCTACTGGCCGTTGCTGCCTCGATTATGACCCGTGGGGGCTCCGGCCCGGTGCTGCCCGGTGTGGCCTGGAGCCCGGCAGGGGTCAAACGGGTCTGTCTGCTTCTCTCGGGCCAGTGTTCCTGGTATTTGCCGGGGCTTCCTTTGGGCCCGTGTGAGGAAACAGCCTGGCCTGCACCGCGGGTGGGGACACGGGGCTGGGGCTTCACCGTGTGTTTCCCAGCAGATGGGCGCTGGCGAAGAGGGAGGGCGGCCCTGCTTTCCAGCCACGGCCCATTAGTCACCCGGCCAGCCCAGCGGGTCCCCGTTGGCCGGGGCGCCCGGGGCTCTGGCAGGAAGCGATTGGGGCAGCAGGGGACAGCACAGCTGCAAAATGCATATATCCTGAGTGTGACAGACCTTCTGCTGATTGACATTCTTTTGTCTGGCTTCTCTTTTGTTTTCCTTTATTTTTATTTAATTTATTTATGTACTTAAAAAATTATTATCATTTTTTTTAAATTTTTTTTTTTATTTCGAAGCGACCTCTACAACCAACATGGGCTCAAAGCTACAGCCCTGAGATCGAGAGTCACACACTCCAGCCAGGCGACCTTCCCTTATCTTTAGACTCTTTGGAAAGGTCCAGGCTCTGGTGTGGTCAACCGGCTGAGGCTAGGAGGGGAGGGGAGAGAGGAAGTGGTCTTCACGGTGGGCAACAGGGCAGGAAGGAGACCCCTTGGGCCCACCGCACCCTCAGTCCCTCTGGTGGCCCTCCCGCCAAGGCACCTGCTTCTGTTGGATTTTGAGGCTGCCTGCTTCCCGCTAGGAAGCAGGTCCAGGTTTTCAGGGCCGATCACACAAGTCCCACAGACGGGGGTGGGGGTGGGGGGGATGTTAACTCCGAGAGGCACTGCCTGGACAGTCGCAGTTTACCAGCTTGTGTATGAGGCACCAGGGCCAATGGCAATTTCATAAATAGGCTAGTGAAGAACGGATCTGTCCCTAGGGCACAAGAAGCCACTGCCTGGGGTCCTGGTCCTGTGCCTGCTGGGCACAGAGGAGCTCAGTGCCCTTCCCTCCAGTCTGACTTACTCTGTGGCCCTCTCGTGGAGGAGGTCATGGAGCTGGGGCGGCTGGCCTGCTGGGGGCCACACGAGGAGAACTGAGGGGCCAGAGTGGATGCCTTGGCCTTGGGTGGGTTCAGGTCCAGGATCTCAGGGGTCCGGGGGGTCCGGGGCTTGCAGGTGAAGGCCGATGTAAATTCCCTGGAACAAAATGTGTAGTCTAGAGTCACAGCCACTGCATGGCTAGGAGTCACAGGAGGAAGGGAGGACTTGCCATTGTGAGCACAAAGATGCCAGGCAGGCACTGTCCTGGGCATGGGGTAGGGGTGGGGTAGAGCCGGGCACCCGGAGGCATACATCCCTGCCCCCATGGAGCTCATATTCTAGGGGAGGAGGGAGATAATAAAAAAAAGGAATAAATGCTGGGGCGCCTGGGTGGCTCAGTCGGTTGGTCATCCGTCTTCAGCTCAGGTCATGATCTCACGATCCGTGAGTTCGAACCGTGTGTCGGGCTCTGTGCTGACCGATCAGAGCCTGGAGCCTGCTTCCCATTCTGTGTCTCCCTCTCTTTCTGCCCCTCCCCCTCTCACACTTTGTCTCTCTCTCACTCTCAAAAATAAATAAACGTTAAAAAAAAAAAAAAAAGGAATAAACGCTAAGGAGGGGATGAAGCAGAGAAGGGGGACAGGGAGCTTGAGAGTGTTGAAGTGAGAGGGTGGCCAGGGAAGGTGTGGCCAGCAGGGTAATGGCCCCCCATTCTGTCCACATCCTCCTCCCTGGAGCCTTTTCTGACAAAGGGGAATTAAGGCTGCAGTGGAATCGAGGTTGCTAATCTGCTGACTTTAAACTAGGGAGATTATCCTAGATTATCAGGGCGAGCCCCGGGAAACCGCAGCGTCCTTAAAAGTGGGAGAGGGAGGCAGAAGAACACAGAGAAATAGGTATGACCACGGAAGACAGACAGAGATGCAAGGCTGCTGGCTTTGAAGATGGCGGAAGGGGCTGCCAGCCAAGGAGGGCAGGAGGGCTCTAGAAGCCACAAAAGGCAGAAAAGAGATTCTCCCATAGAACTCGGGGAAACAGTGTATCCTGTGTATGCCCCGATTCCAGCCCAGTGAGAGCCCTGTCGGACTTCTAACCCACTGAACTGTAAGGTGGTACATTTGTGGTGTTCAGGTCACTAACTCTGTGGTCACCTGTGACAGCAGCAATAGGAAGCTAATTTTAGACGTGGTGGCCAGGGAAGGCCGTGCTGGGAAGGTGACTTGAGCCCCCAAATGATCCTGTGGGGCAGGCAGTACTGCCCCGGTTTTCAGACGTAGAAACTGAGGCCCAAGTTTGTGAACTTTCCAAGGTCACACACATAACAAGCAGGTTGTGAGGCCAAGATTTGAGCCCAGTGGGATCTTACAGCCAGCTGTTCTCCAGATGCTATCTGCCTCCCAGCCCCAGGGAGCAGCCTCACAGAGACGGTGGACCCGACTTGGAACCAGGGCCTTCCTCTCCTCCAGCACCTGCAGCCACTGAAACTCGGTGGTGTTGGACGAGAAATCCTGGGAGTGAGATCGTGGCTCTGTGACCTCCCAGTCACCCAGCTGGAGTTGGGGACTCCCCCGCCCAGTGCTTTGCTGTCTGGCTGTCACTGAGCTGGATCCACGCTGCTCCCTCCTTGACTTCTGGGGCCCTTGCTGCCTATGTGCCCATTTTCCTGACTATAACTCTGAAGACCGGAGTCCCAGGCTGTCACCCAGGGTTGTCATAGCCACTGAACGAGCTAATGTGAGCATCAGCCCAGCTGCCAGCCTGGTGCATGCTCCGTAAACGGCAGGTCCGTGTTCCTTCCCTAAGTGGGTGCCTTAGTCTACGGGCTTCACAGAGTTGGTGCACAGTTTGCTGTGCATTTTAATGTAAGCAAGTTTGCTGACATCTGGGGAGCCTCAGTTTCCCCACCTGTAACATGGAGGGCAGCTGTGATGATTCTGCAAGGGAGGTTGTGTCCTGAGCCCCATCGTGGGCCCCATAACTTGGGGTTCTGGCTCTTGGGGAGTGGGCCTTGGGAGGAAACTGGAATTTTTGGATTCACTTCTATATTTCTATATGCCCCTCTTTTTTTTTCTTTCTTTTTTCTTTCCTTTTTCTGTTTTTCTACATTGAGACACTTTTACTCTAATCATTAGAAAAAGAAAACTTAAACATCTGGAAAATTTCCAAATTCAAATTTAGGACAAGTCTGGCATAAAAACTGCCCATACTTTGGGCAATACATCTCTGATACCAGATTGGAAAGGATAGGGAGGTTTAGCCCTACAGTATTTTATTAAAGTTTAAAATGATTTTTTCTTTGTTTAAAAAAATGTACGTATATGTATGTGTGTACATACGTCCGTGAAGTAAGCTCCATGCCCCAGCACGGGGCTGGAACTCCCGACCCTGAGACGAAGAGTCACGTGTTCTACTGACTGAGCCAGCCATGTGCCCCCGTGACTTTTTTTTCTTTAAGAAGAAATTATATTTTTATATCATTTATAATAGTATTTCCCTGAATATTTTCCATGTTGTACCTTTTACACGCATGTGCGTTTTCACATACTTGTAGTCATACTTACATGCTGCTCTATGTTCTTCTAATTTTTTTTTTAACGTTTATTTATTTTTGAGACAGAGAGAGACAGAGCATGAACGGGGGAGGGGCAGAGAGAGAGGGAGACACAGAATCCGAAGCAGGCTCCAGGCTCTGAGCCGTCAGCCCAGAGCCCGACGCGGGGCTCGGACACACGGACCTCGAGATCGTGACCTGAGCTGAAGTCGGACGCTCAACCGACTGCACCACCCAGGTGCCCCTGTTCTTCTAATTTTTAAAAATGTTTATTTTTATTTATTTTGAGGGAGAGAACACGCATGAGTGGGGGAGGGGCAGAGAGAGGGAGGGAGAGAATCCCAAGCAGGCTCCAGGCTCCCAGCTGTTGGCACGGAGCCCGATGTGAAGCTCGATCTCATAAACTACGAGATCATGATCTGAGCTGAAATTAAGAGATGGAAGTTTACCGACACCCAGGGCCCTGACACTTCCCTGTTCTTATGACCCTCATTCCACCTGCTCTCTAGACTTCTGAGTAGCCTCCACTATTATTTATAATGGAGGGTTTTTATATAAATATTATATGTTTATAATATATATAGATATATTTCATCCGATGGATCTACTGGAATATATCATGCCTTTCCCTAGCATTTTGCTTTTCTTTCATTCATTGATAATGCACACGTGTGCAAAAAACTGTTCCAGGCCCTGGAGATCAAAGGTCAACGAGACCAAATTTCTGCTCTTAGGAAGTTCACAGAGAAGTAGGGCAGTTTGACCAGAGCACAAAGATAAAATAATGAAATGAGTCACACTGATGATGCTTTTCTTGCACATATAAAGACGATTTTTATGTGGTTTAATGAGGTGGCTTACTTTTTGTTTTTTTTTTTTTTTTTAAGTGAGCTCTATGCCCAACGTGGGGCTTGAACCCATGACTCCGAGATCACGAGTCGCACGTTCTACTGACTAAGCTACCCTGGTACCCTGAGGTGTGTGTTTGTTGTTTTTTGAAAATATTATTTGGTTCAAATGATTTTTTTCCTATTTTGCTATTCTAATTTTGATATCTTTGGTACTGGTATAGCAGTTAATTATTTTTAAATTGTGATAACATATACAGAACATAAAAATGACCATCTTGACCATTTAAAACTGTAGCCCTACTACATTTTAAGAAGGAGTGACTAAGAGAAACTAGTAAAAATGACTCGGTGAACACTGGCAGCTCTTCCTGGCACAGGGTTAGCTGTGGGTTACCTGGGGATGTCCATCATGTGGTCGTGGGACAGGGAGGCCAGATTTGAAGGGGCGAGCTGTGGAAGCCCAGGAGGGCTGGCCAGCTTCACTGCATGGGGCCTCAGAGCCAATGGGCGGCAAGGTCAGGTGGCAGGGACGGGGGGACGCTGAGATGAGTTGGCAAGAAGTGAAGGGAGAGAAAGGTCTGTGTAACAGGGCTAGAGGTCTATATATAACCTCCCAACCCCAGAGCAACCAGAAAAGGGTCCTGTCCCTTTGGAGAACAATTTGGTGATGTGTATGAAAAAACTCTTATGTATAGGTTGACTTTATGTGCCAACTTTGCTGGGCCATGGTGCCTAAATATTTGGCCAAACATTATTCTGGATATTTCTGTGCGGGTGTTTTTTTTGGGTGAGATTAACACTTAAATAGGCAGACTTTGAGCAGATTGCTCTCCCTAGTGGGGAGTGGGCCTCATCCAATCAGTTGAAGGCACAAATAGACAAAGCCTGAGCTCCCCTGAGCAGGAAGGAACTGTGCCGGCAGACTGACTTTGCACTCCAACTGCAACTCTTCCCTAGGTGTTCAGCCTGCTGGCCTACCCTGTGGATTTTGGATTTGCCAAGCCTCTGCCATCATGCGAGCCAACTCCTTAAAATAACTGACCCCCCACCCCCCACACACATCCTGTTGGTTCTCTTTCTCTGGAAAACCCTGACTAATACACCGTCAAAGCCAGCCCTCCTCTCTGCCCTAGGACACAACCTTTGTTTGGCCACGGTAGTGTTGTTGTTTGGGAAAAGGGCACCCACAGACAAGGGGCTCCTTCTGGCTCCTTCTCCAGCATTGGAGAAGGTGGCCCTCAGCAGAGCCCAAACCACGGTGCGGGCTGCTGCAGGGGGTGGTGGTGTTGACTGAGGACGCTGGCCACCGTCCCCGACCTCGGCATGGGGGATGGCATCAAGGCCCTCTGGGAAGGACACCGAGGGAGGCAGAGGTAGAGGTCAGCTTGGCCTCCAGGCCCCCAGCACCCCTGAACGGTGACCTGAGCACTCTGAGCAGCGAGGAGCCAGAGCCGGGAAATGGTGATGGTTTGGTAGGAGATGAGGCCAGATTAGGGTAGAGCAGGAAAAGCACGCGGAAAGGAAATTCAGGACGGCAGTCGCCTATGACTTAGGAAAAGTAAGTTGCGCGCAGGGATAATGGTGCTGGGTAGTAGAGGGAAAAGGAAAACCTCACTACATATGTAAATTGGCAGGTGTCCTGCAAGACAGGCAATTATTCAAGAGGCCATTAAGGCACAAACGACAGTGCTTGGGGGTCCCCTTAGCGGACTCTGCCCATCAGGATTCAGGATATTTCATCTGTGCGCTAACAGAACCCAGAGAGGGGTGCGGGGTGGGTGACGGGGGAAGGACACAGCAGATGAAGGCAGGTCCAGAAGGTCGCCCACCATGTCTGCACACGGACACGCGGGGCTCCTGTCCCCATTCCCCTGACTTCCTGGTTCCTAGTTTCTAGTTTCTTTTAGCTGGATGCATCGTAGTGCTGTCATGAGCTACCCCATATGCCACATTTGGGGACACACGTGAGGGGGATAAAGCATGTATGTAAACAGATGCAGAATTTCTTTCTTCTTTCTTTTCTAAAAGCCATAATACTTGCAGAAGAGTCGTTTCCTGTCTGTGGCGGGACGGGAACTTTGACACCGTTGTCTTTGGATCTCCGCCTGGGGGGTAGCGGGCATCTGTGCAGGAGCGAGCGCTCCGACCTGAGGAGGCTGTTCCCTCCGCCCATCATTGGGCCACAGGGAGGCACCGTCCAGGCAAATGCCTCCCGGTCGGTCCAGCTGGGCTCCTCTCTGCATGGACCATATGCCGGCTTGGTTAACAGTATCTTCCCCAACTACTCAATACTAGGGATTCTATGGAGCAGACAGAAAACAGAACAGGAACCCCTTGGCATGGGGGAGGGGGAGGGAGACAGATCACAAGGTCTGAACCGTTGACTCCCTGGCTTCCAGGAAGCCAGTTTCATGGTCACACTAGTGGCTGGAAGCCACTAGAATGGAACTGGAGCCTCAATGATCTTTAAACCGCCTCCAATCTGGGGCTAAGCCATGAGAGTATGGTTTAATCTACCGTTTGCCCCAAACCGCAGCTCCAGAGCTTTTCAGGGATACCAGCAGCCAAGCGGGGCCCACCCCGCGGCCTGTCTTCTGGGCAAGGGGCTGTCCTCACTCTAAGGCGTAAGAGAGAGGGGCTGGGGGAAGCAGAGGGACAAATGTCCCCCATCAAGCCATGCAGAGAGCCACTCGCTCTCCCTTTTAGCTGATTCATCCAACAAATATTTTGAGAGCCTGCTCCGGGCGAGGTGCAAACACAGGGGCAGACTCCCTAGAGCCATGGACCAAGTGACCGCAGTGCTCTGTGCCCCTGTGCAAGGGAACACCGCTGCGTGACTGGACTTTGGGGTCAGGAAGGAGGATGGGGTGCTTAGCTGAGACCTGGGGCAGCCGGTGAAGTGGAGGCCAGGGGTGGGGGGAGAATGTTGCTGGCAGGGGTCACATAGCCAGTGGAGAGGGAGGTGGGTGGCCCAACTGTATCCTTCTCCCTCTTTCCTTCCTCCTCTTCCTCAGACAGAATACTCCCTTTCCCCGGGCTTAAACTAAGAGCAGGATTCATGTTAAGGTGGGAGCACCCATGGATTTAACCCCAACGGGGCATTTGTGCCCAAGAGGAGCTGGAGGGCCAACTGGGTCAGCCCACTTAGTGTAACCAGGGGGAAGGTGTCTTAGGAGAGCCTGTGGGGTCCCCTGCCAACTATGAAAACACTTATTCTGGGCGTGCCTGGGTGGCTCAGTCGGTTAAGCGTCAGACTCTTGATTTCAGCTCAGGTCCTGATCTCAGGGTGCATGGGTTCGAGCCCCATGTTGGGCTCTGCGCTGACAGCATGGAACCTGCTTGGGATTCTCTCTCTCCCCCTCCCCCGACTTGTGCGTGTGCTCTCTCTCTCAAAATAAATAAATAAACATTAAAAAGAAAAAAAGAAAACACTTATTCTGGAGAGAGAGGATTATCCCCATTGGTAAGTCTCAGCAATGAATTCTGCCTTTACAGGAAGGGAGAAGAAACGGCTCTAGCCCCAGGAGAGCAGGTTTGGTCTGGCCGAGATGTGGGATCTGGTCCGGGACTGAGAGCAGGGGGCTGGCACGGCAGGGAGCCCCGCCAGCCTCTGGCTTACCCCTCTGAGCTTTCTCATTCTGGGGCCCCCACCTCGCGGAGGTGCCAAGAGTCAGAGAATCCCTGAGCTGTGGACCAGCCTGTGGGAGCACACCTTCAGCCACTCTGAGAGAGGGGAGGAGCCCCAGATTGGGGAGGTGGGTCCCTGGGTCCCCAGCTGGTCATGGGCTGAGCTGGAGGAGACCAGATGCTTGGCCCCCAAGGCCCCCCGCCGCCCCCAGCCTCTGCCATCTTTTACAGCCTTTGACAGGACTGGCCCCCACCCCAGTGCAGGCCCCAAACTCCTCTGGCTCCACCCCATGCAGCCCTGCTGCCTCTGGAAACCCTGACTTCCCTTCTACCCCGTGCCTGGCCGCAATCTCCGACTGCAGTGGTGGGAAAGGAAGGTGCCGGGGTGCCGCCCACCCAGAAAGGGGGATGGGCCGCAGCACCCTCTCGCTGCCCGCCTTCTCAGACCGTGTGCGTGGTTCTGCTAGGCCGTCTGCCTGCTCTGGGGGCAGAGGCCGCTCCAGGTGTCCCTGCAGCCTCGAGAGCTCAGCGGGGACTCCTGTGTGTGTGACTTCCATCTGCGGGAGCCTGCAGGAAGGGCAGCGGGGGCCTGGGTATGGGGAGGGCAGCCAGCAGGCTGGTTCCTCTGACCCTCTACACTGCCAGGGGGAAGCGTCTGCAGGGCGTGGGGGAGACTCGCGCCTCAGGGGTCTGGAGTCTGTGGCTCCGCAAGGCTCTGCCGCTCAAGGAACTCCAGACCGGGCCAAGGTCAGCCGTGACCACAGCTGGGGTGCGGGCCTGCCCGCTGCTGACGCAGTCGTGGAAATACTTCCCAATTCTATAGAAAGGTGGGGGCACAGAAGGCCTGACCGGTCACCATGGCAAAGTTCCTCTAAATCAGAGACTCCAAGGGTGTAGTCACGTTAAACACGGTTCTAAGCCAGTGTTTTAGTGCAGAAGGCTGGCTTCTCCATCCTGAAATTACACAGGCTGCAGGGCACCGCGTGGCCGGGCGGACGCGGTGGGGGCAGCCGGGGTGCCGGGCGGATAGGCTGAGACCAGGGCTAGGCCCCTCTCCCTGAGCAAGCTCCCTGAGATCTGAAAGAAGGGGCCTAGAGCCCCAGACTTTCTCCATTCTAAAGAACCCCAAGTGACGCATCATAGGCCAGTCTGTACTCATTTGGTGCAGAGGAAAAGAAAACACCTTTGTATTCTGTGTGGGATCCTGTGTCTATTTTAGGAAGGTCCGGAGGGCACCTGGGAGGCTCAGTCGGTTAAGCGTCCGACTTTGGCTCAGGTCATGATCTCACGGTTCGTGGGTTCGAGCCCCGCGTCAGGCTCTGTGCTGACAGCTCGGAGCCTGAAGCCTGCTTTGGATTCTGTGTCTCCCTCTCTCTCTGCCCCTCCCCTGCTCGTGCTCTCTCTCTCTCTGTCTCTCAAAAATAAACATTAAAAAAAAAAAAAAAACTTTATAGGAAGGCGACATCTGAGCCAAACCATTTCACTAACCTCGTTCTCCACCTTTCTCCCATCCACCCTATCTTCTCCAAAAGCAAACCGCTAAGATAGGACACTGTTCACAAGTTACCCCAAATCACACATCCTCACAAACACGTTCAGCTTGCAGTTCTTAAAACTAGTCCCTTGGGTAGGTTTATGAGTTTCCTTTCCTTCCGGTCTGACAACCGATAATTCTCAGGTGGCAGGTGCCTCCCCGTGGGCTCTGAGGTTAACAGGTGTGGTGGCCACAAGCCCCTGGGTATCTCCGTAGAGTGCTTCGGGCCCCAGTGAAACGCTCCTGTGCTGTCGGAGTCAGAGCCTGGACCACAGAGGAGCCCTCCCAGGACACCTCCCCGTCCCTACCTGGTGGTGTCTCCACCGTCTAGGGCCTGGCTGGGGTCCCCCGCCGAGGGCAGACGAACCTCTCCCTGATGTCCCGCTGGCAACCATTCTCCCGGTTTGATGTCCACCGTGGAGGCTGGGGAGGAGAGAGAGTTCAGTGGACTCTTTGAGGATGCTCCTTACTGGGCTGGGCCCCAAAGCCAAGAACAGCACATGCCCACGCGAGCCCCTGACAGCTCCTTGGAGCCCACCGGGGAGGACTTGTTCGCTTGTGTGCAGCCCGAGAAGTCTCCAGGCGGCCTCTCGGCGCGCTTACAACCTGGGGGCACAGCGCGAGTGCTCTGGCTGGATACACACGCAGCACAGGGAACCACAGACCTTTGGCCCCTTTGCTTCTCCTGGCCCCCCCTCTGTCTCTCAGGGAAAAGCCGACAAACGTGGAGCTGTCTCCCTCGGTCGCTGCTTGGTGCCAATGCAGAGGAGCATGGAGGCACGGTAAAAAACTATTTGTTGTTTGTCTGAAATTCCAATTCAGCTGGGCGTCCTGTACTTTTATTTGCCGGATTCGGCAACCCCAGAGGTGGGGCCCTCTTCCCCCTGAGCTACCCCAGGACCCTTCAGGCCCGAATCCCCCACTCCACCCACAGGGGCAGACACTGCCCTAATTCCCAGCCAGCAGTGTTCGTGTTGACATCATGGACAAGGAGCAGGCTACCCGGGTCACCCTGGAGACCTTCAAAGGGAAATGACCGAGAAGTCCCAGACGACACTGCCAGGGAGCTCTCCTGAGGACCCGGGGAGGGACCTATTCTGTGTTTCAAATGATATGAACCCTTTCTTCTCCGGCCCCACTTTTCTTCTTGTTCTATAGCCAAAGGGCTTCACGCCACCGTCAAAGCAATTCTGTGACAGAGCCCATATTTGCTATGTCCTTAGTCCAAGCTCCTTCCGGCCCTTTCATTTAAAGTTTTATCCATTTTGAGAGAGACACAGAGAGAGCGAGCGAAAGTGAGCACACACAAGTGGGGGAGGGGCAGAGAGAAGGAAAAACAGAATCCCAAGCAGCCTCTGCACCATCAGCACGGAGCCCCAGGTGGAGACCGAACTCACGAACTGTGAGATCATGACCTGAGCCGAGATCAAGAGCTGGATGCTTAACCGACTGAGCCACCGAGGAGCCCCAAGCCCTTTCGTTTAAAAATGTCCCTGGTACCTTTGCAACGTGGCCTCTACTTTGTCTTCAATATAAACAATCTCCTTTGCAGGTTTCCTCAAACGCATAGCAAGGGACACAGCTTTGACTTCCAGGTAACTATCTTTTGACCCAAACAGGGAATCTGTTTCTGGTGTGGAGCCCAATGCGTGGCATTATTTACAGCCCACCAGGACAGTCTCCACTTAAAGCTGGGACTGGACCTGGAAATTCAGCCTTCTCTGATCTGTTCTCCAGTGGACAACTGGCCTGTCTATGCTCTCTGCTCTACAAGCTTATAATATAGCCCGGGACACAGAATTTAGGTGTATGAAGAAATAATTGAGTGGAACCACATACAGCTGTGTGCTGGGCTACAACAGAAAATCCCATCCCAGTTAATGGTGCCACCAAGATGGCGCCCAAGGGTGGGTGGGTAGTCCTCCAGGATCAGGAGCTTTCCCAGGTGAGAGTGGGTGGAGGGACAGGTTGGGGGGTGGGTGGGAAAGCCCCCTGGCAGGAGGGAGGAGGAACTAAGCTGAGCTGTCCTGAGACCCTCTGAGGTCTTTTTGGTCCTGTCACCAAATAGTAGTCATCCCCTACACCCCTTCCCACTCCCTCCACTGAATGTCACCATGTAGGCGTTCAGAGCTCCCGCCACAGAAGGACAGATCCACTGCAAGCTGGGGACTGGGGGACACCAGCAGCTGTGTGCGTGCACCAGAGGCTTCCTGGGATGAAGTACTGTTTTCCCGCCTGTGGATCCATTTCAGACCGGGCTGGGCATTTTCCCTTGAGGCCACTGACAAGGTATGTGACTTTGATATCTGAGATAGCCTTCGTTGAGGGGGAATGAGAATAAATTCCCCCCAGGCCAATGTCATAACAAAATTCTAAGTCACATTCTTGGCTTTTTCCTTTGGGAACTATTTCCTGTTGGCTCTGTGGAGCCAGTCCCTTTGCCTAAAAAGAATGTACTTTCTGGCCCTGCGGTCAGCTGATCAAGCGGTTGGAGGATTCCACAGGTTCCCCATCATGAGTTTTCACCTTTAGCATCGACTGAATGCAGAGGTGTGAAGGGGCTTCCTGGGCTAACGCGCTCGAGGCCACCGTGGCGGGTTCCCGCTGGGTCTGAGGTGTGGCATGAATTCCCAGTATGAGTGAAGGCCAGGAGGCCAGGCTTAGCAGCAAGTCATGTGTGAGGGGCCTCTGAGGAGTAGCTGGGCGAGGCCAGATCGGGCTGGGGGCGTGGGGGTGGGGGGGGGGGTGGTGGACAAAGTGAGCCAGAGCACAGAAGCAGGAGAAAGGGCCGGAGAAGCAGGACTCTATGGACGGAGGGGTCCAGAGGAAGTCAAATCAGGCTCCTGACAGGAAAGGAGTTACACAGAAGACGACGAGGGCCAGGGTGGCCACCCAGCCCACCAGTGTTGTCTCCCTCTCTAGCCCTCTGATCTGCTGACCCAGATGCAGCCTCAGAACCAGTCTCAACACTGCTTATGTGCGTTCTTGCTTTTGGCTTTTGTTTTTGTTTTTACTTAAGCAGGCTTCATGCTCAGTGTGGAGCCCAACTTGGGGCTTGAACTCACAACCCTGAGATCAAGACCTGCACTGAGATCAGAGTCAGATGCTTATGTGACTGAGCCACCCAGGGGCCCCTGGTTATGTGCATTCTAAGCACATAAACCCAAGGCTGCTTGCCAGTCGTCCTCACACAGAGGCTGGGTGAGAAGAGGGAGGGACGGTGGCGACAAGACCAACCAAGGGAGCGGACCAGTGGTCCCGGGACATCGGTCCTGGTGTGGCTGCAGCTGGGCAAGCCCGGAAGACGGCAGAAGGAAGAACAGAATCTACACCACAAATGCTCCCTAAAGGCTCCCTAAATGACCCAGGGAGAGCCACTAACCCCGCGGAGGCTTGGCTTCCCACGGGAGACCCTCGGTCAAGGAAAAGGATTGTAAGAGAGATTTAGGGGTGCTGCCCTGAGGCTGACAGCAGGCCGCGCAGGGCAGGGGAGAGTGGTTCCTGTGGCCGGTTTCTGGCCCATGGAGTGAGGGTGGTTAGTTCTGGAGCCCACTGAGGCGGGAGGGGAGTTGATGAGTAGGGTGGGGGTCCTGGGTCCCAGCCAGGCCTAAGCAGAGAGGAGCAGGTAGGAGAAGGGGGCACGTGGAACATGGGGGACATGGTCTCAGCAATCAGAGCTAACTCTGGCCAAGCGGCTGTCCTGGCTCCAGGTGGCCCCATGTGGAGGGGCTGCCGCTTCCCCAGGGGGAGGCACTGGGGACCGTGCTGATCACCCAGGCTGGGTCCCCTGGTGGCTGCCCACTGTTTTCATGTGAGGAAACGGGATTTGCCAGGGCCTCGACTTTGTCAGGGCTAAAAGCAATTGTGTTTGAAAATCACAGTGACATCAACATCTCCAGCAGTATCATCAGCGGCCACGCAGCTACTCCATCCACGGCGGCCTCGAACGCCTCCATCCTACACGGAACACATGCTAAATCCTTCCAAAATCCAGGACCATACTGATAATCAGTGCAAGACAGAGGGCCACCCTGGTGGTCACTTTGGTAAAACAAGGACGTACCAGATAAATAAATGGCCCTAAATGCAACTTTTCAGAAGTCCAGGCTGAACTTCAAATCGTTTTTAACTCAAAGGGCATTAGGTGAAATTGGCAAAAGTGGTTAGACCACCTAAGACCTCCACCCTGGCACAGAAATCTCTGGAAAAATGGTGGAGCTAATCAGCTTTCAGCGAGGGCATATTAACGTTTACAGCTCTAACAAAACAGGTAAAATAACACGTGATCTAAGGTGGCAAAACCTCTAAAACTGTCCCTAACCAGGAGACCCTCCCCCAGACTCTCCAACAACCTGGCTCTCCTCCGGCTCTGTGACCAGCCTACCGCTCTGAACCGGGGCTTAGCAGCGTTCGAATCCAATTGTGAGCAGATTATAAAAGTTCTCAGATGTTTCTCATACTGGAATCTGACCTGCTCCTCTGTTGTTTTTCCCGTTTGAATGGAGATTACAGTCTTATCTGGCCTGCTCATATCCTTTTAATTTCCTCTTGAAAATTAAAAAAACAAAACAAAACAAAACCTTTCGTACATATCCGATTATTCAAAGCATATATATTTTTTCTGGCATCTAAAAAAAAAATACTTTTTATCCACGCGTGTGCCCCTGCTCACACATTTCTGTCTCAGGCCAGCCTTCGAACACGCGGCCGCGCGCCTCGTCCAAAGTCTGAGGTGCCAAAGCCTCGGTCATAAATTGACATCGCCTTCTGAGACGTGACTACTCGGAAAGCTCACATCAAACGCAGCTTTCCCCAGCACAAGTGTGCTACTCGCTTGCAGACGTGGGCAGTGCTCACTATGCTGCGATAGAAGGGGGTCTGGAGGAACAGGCCACGGGCAGGTGTGGCCGCGTGGCTGCGGGTCAGCGGGCCTCGGGAACGCGGGGCAGTGGCCGAGACCAGGGTGTGAGCACGAGGCCTCTCCGGGTGTGTGGCTGCTGCTGCCCGGTCCCCACGCCACCGGCGTTCCATTCTTACGTGAAGGCCCCGAAGCACCAGCCTCACCCCCCTGGTGCACTGGACGGGGGGCGCTTGTCAGGGACGGGAGGCCGCCGTTTCCCGCACGTTGGGCCATCTGGGGAGGAACGGGATGGTCTTCCGGCCTGGAGGGAAGAATGAAACACAGCAGTAAATACAGGTAGCCAGGAGGAATTTGCTGCCTACCGTGAGACTCCAGAAACAAAGACAGGGAGCGGGAGCCCCCGAAGTTCTTTTGTTAAATGGATATCTAATACATATGGTAGCTATCAGATATGATATGCTTACCACATAGTGAAGCAGATATGAGGTTTTTTTTAAGGTATTGGCAGAAACTAGGATGTACCCTCTTAGCTCCTATAAATGCACGGTGATAAATAGTATCTGTCCGACACACAGTTGCATCTTTTGGCTTTGGGGGACGTGGGAGCACGGCATTTCAACCAAACCGTTGAAGGCACCCGGCTTCTGGTTTTTCCTCAGAGGATGAAGCAGATTAGCAAACGGACGAATGCCATCAGAAGAGACATGATGTGTCACGTCAGCCATGACAAGAGCTGGACAGGCCCGGGACCGGGGAGAGCTCGCTCTCTGTCAACACCTAAGTGTGCCTACATCGCCTGACGGCACCCGGGGCGGTGGAGCCGGCCCAGGCAGACGCATTCACCCGGCAGACACCTGTCGGGTGCCTCATCGTTCGGGACCCCCAGCCAGGTGTGGGTGCCAGGGATCCCCCCGCCAGAGAGGTGGTGGGAAGTAGGCCGGCTCTCCAGGTGGGCACGGTCCTCAACAAGGAGCTGCTAGCCACCTGCCCAGCAAGGGCTTGGTGGGAGGCACACCATGGCAAGTACAGGGTGCTTTTCCTAGGGGTGGGTCCTGTGAGATGGCGGTTCTTGAATGTCAGTTCCAGTAGCAAAGACAAGTAGACGTTAAGCCGCCCGGAGGGGCAGGAAAGGCTCTGTGTGTGTGTGTGTGTGTGTGTGTGTGTGTGTGTGTGTGTGTGGCATTCAGCCAGTCCTGAACTCTGAGTCAGGACTGCCTGGGGCCAAAGGGGGGAAATTTTTCCACCAGGGAAGTAACACCAGGAGGCAGATGGAGAGGCAAAAAAAAAAAAAAAAAAAAAAGTATATACTTATGCTGCATTGTTACAGAAATATTTAAGGCACCACCAAAGGGGAAAAAAATGCAGGCTGGAGGGGACAGGGTGTCCTGGGGAAGAGCTTCAAGGCCCAGGGTCAAGGTGGGGGGTCAACCGAGAAGGACCCTGTCAGCCAGGGTTTGATTAGATTTGATCCCTAAGGGACACAGGAGTCACAGAAATGACATCCCATGATGACGTGCTAGAAACCTCATTCTGGGGTGACGGACGGTGGACCGTGGCAGGGAGAACCACTGGGGGGGGGAAGAGATGGCTCAGGAGGGCAGAGGGGAAGGGCCAGGGCTGAGAGAGGGAAGGCTGGCTCAGGTGTTTGGGGGTGTTAATGCCATTCCCTGAAGCAGGGGGCTGAGGGGACGGTGGTGTTCCCCTAGGAAGCGCAGACTCAGGGTGCTGCGGGGACATACCTAGCAGCTGGGGCAAGTCTACAATGGAATGGGATTTTGTGTCTGCAGTATGTAATGGAGACCCCAGCACAAGCAGGATGGGTGGGGACCGGAAACGGGGCATTTTAGGAGGAAGAGGGGTGATTTGGGGACCAAGCCGACAAGGCAGTGGGATGTGGGGGTGGGTGAGTGACCAGGAATGTGGTCAGCAGCGGCAACCTCGAGAGATGCTGAGTGTCCCCTGAGGCTGGAAACTGCAAGGTCACCGGTGGCTGTGGCAGCAGTAACCTGAAGTCACTGCCAGACCCTGCGGACTATGAAAGGAGGGGAGGGGGCGGGGAGGCAGCCAGAGAGGACCTGGGGGAGGGCACTTGGGGACCCGAAAGGCCTGGGGGAAGGAAAGCAGCAGGAAGGGAGGTTGAAGGTGGAGCAAAGGAGGTGTTAAATGATGACGTTGAGTTTGGACAGTGATAGGAGGAGAGGGATCCATAATCCAGGGAGGGGTGAGGGGGGGGGGGGGGGGGCGGGGGGGGGGGGGGGGGGCCACACATCTGATGCTGGGGTGACAGAGGGTCTTGAATTGTGCAGGGTGACTGTCTTTTTGTTTTCAGTCTTTCTTTTCTTGATTAAAAAACCAGTTAATCATGGTTTGCCCTCCCAGTACCTAGACACAACCACTATTAACATTTGAGATCTTAAATTCAAAGATAGGGGCACCTGGGTGGCTCAGTCGGGGCCAACTCTTGATTTTGGCTCAGGTCATGATCTCACGGTTCGTGAGATTGAGCTCTGTGTCGCTTGGGATTTTTTCTCTCTCTCCGCCTCAGCCCCACTTGTGCGTGTGTGTGTGTGTGTGTGTGCGCACACACACACACACACTCTCTCTCTCAAAATGAATAAAAACAAATTGCAAATATATACTTTAAAAAATACAACCCGTGATCACTGTAAGTGGCTGGCAGGCAGGATCCACCCAGTTTTATGATTTGCTTTTTCACTTAGCAATATATTGTGAGGCTCTCCCCATGTATTAAATATTCTGCTAAAACATTATTTTCAATACCATTTTGTGTTGATATATAATTTATGTAAACAGCCTCCCGCTTTGGGCATTTAGATTTTTCCTCATGAATAACACTGCAATAAATACCTGGTACACAGAGCTGTGAATAGCTGATTACTTCTCAGCATAAAATCCTAGCAGTGCGATTACTGACTCCAGAGCGTGCAATACATATTGTATATGTACATATATATTTGGGGAGCGTATATGTATATGTACATACATATTTGGGGAGCGTATCCCCAAAGCGAGCAATACATATTGTCAAGGGTCCCCAAGATCACTGAGATTCTCGATATACACTCTTGGCCATACTAGGTTATCAGAGCCGACTGGCTGAATGGAGTCATGTAACCTTTGACTAAAGATCCTGAGAGTTAACCAGAGGGGAGCACCCTGCATCTGCCACCACCGACGGACCCAGTACATCGGGATTATGTACATTGGGACCCCGGGATCACGACCTTGAGCTGAAATCAAGAGTCGGATGCTCAACCGACGGAGCCACCCAGGTGCCCCAAAGATAATCTTAAAAATTTTAAAGATGATCATTTGGTGTCCTCTCTCCCACGTTAAAAGCACGATGAAATTTCCTTAGTTCCCACCACCACTTCCGTTCAAAAATATAAGCCAGATTTACTAGTAGCTGACACTTGGCTGTATTCCAGATCCAAAAAGCAAACACCAAAGCTCTTAGATATCAATGACATTCTTGGGACAATCAGGGAATACTGATACACTACACGATATCATGCGAATGTGGGCTTTCTTAGGTATGATAGATAATGTGGTTAAGCACAGGGATGCTCTTATTCTTAGGGGACGTGTTGCAAGTCTGCGGCCTTCTTTCAAACAGTTCAGCCAAGCGAGTATGCGTGTGTAAGTTATATACTATGCACACGGAAGGAGCCCGAGAGAAGATGTCAAGGTGGCGATACGTTAATAGTTGGAAGCTGAGTTAAAAAATACTGATAGTAAGTTTAAGAGAAAAAAAGGATGGGCTAGTAACTTAACCCTGAAATGTGAAGCGCATGGCGGCTAGTTTTGAGACCAAATCACACGGATCACCGATCCACAGGGTGGGCCTGGAAATTCTAGGCTGAGTCCCACACGAGCGGGGTCTGGCTGCGGGGCTCCGGCATGCCAGCATCCACCCACGGAGCTCCGAGAGGGCAGGCCTTTCCGCATTGTGCCTGTGGCTGCATCCCCAGGGCTTGGTTGTTCGTTACAAATTACTACAGAGTAAAACTGGAAACAGCCAAACTGCCCAGCTGCAGGGAATAACTAAGTAAAATGTGTCATGTTCCCTTTAACTATTTTATGGCCGGTGTTTGTTGAAGGAATCAATAAATGCCAGTTTTCTGCCTGCTCTCTGTAACCCCCTGGTTTGTACCTGTTTCTCTGCACCTGTTTCTCTAGACAGCTGGACTGCTTGGGCTGGGGTTCCCCCAGAGCCCACAGGGTTCCCAGGGAGATCAGAGGCTCTTGGGTAACCACACTGTAGTTTTGTTGACATAAACGGGGTAGGAGCAAGGCTCTGAAGAATGAAGAAAGCTGGGCCGCTAAACACACATAGGGTTGCTTTAAAAAGTGAGTGTGTTTATTTAAGCCAAGTTGATTTGGTGTCTGAACCTGTGATGCTCCACCCGAACAAAAGAACAAAAGGCCTGGGGTGGCGGCTGAGAAAAGAAGGCCTAGAGTCGCGTCTGGGTGGACCCGCTGCTCCTTCTGGTCCTTTCCTTTGAAATTACATTTGGCCAACACTTGGCTTCTTCAGGGCAAAGTGCCTGGAGGTCCTGCAATCCTACCACTTCATTTTCTGGAAGAAGAAACCTCAAGTGAAGGAGACAACATCTTTCCCCTCAAAAATTCCCAAGAGATAAATAATGAAGAGATAAATGCTTTCCAACGTGAACGTTTTATTTCGCATTTTTCAATACACGCATCTTACACTGCAGGTAAAACAAAGCTTAAGAAATCCCCGCCTCCTTTAGCCCGGACTTACACTGGGTACCCCGTCCTGTGGCCGCCAGGGGTGACGGGCCGGCACAGGGGCTCGTCGGCACTGCGCTGCACACCGGCCAGGCCCTTCCGCCTCATCTTCCCCGTGTTGGTCATGATCTGGTGGAAGGAAAGGGGAGATGGGCTGGAGAAATCACCTACTTGAAAGCTGACCTAGAGGTAGCAGATACTACACGCAGAAAGTAACCTATAGGAGTAAGAGGCTTCGCAAATAAGTGAAGAAGGATCACACAGTATTCAGATACACAGAAATTTGGGGAAAAATTCCTTTAGGTTTGCGTATTATGCCATTTAGCAGTATAAATTAAAAAACCAAAAAAAACCCAGACCATGGAAAAGAGAAGAAAACAGTTGAATACAGTAACAATTACATCTCTGGGAAGACTGAGTTTTGAAAGTGAGAAGAAAAAAAAGATGGGCAGATTTGGTTTCATAAAAAGGTAAACTTTCCAGTGGTGCCTGGGTGGCTCAGTCCATTAAATATCCAATTCTTGATCCTGGCTCAGGTCATAATCTCATGGTTCGTGTTGGGCTTTGCGCTCATAGTGTGGAGCCGGCTTGGGATTCTGTCTCCCCCTCTCTCTCTGCCCCTCCCCTGCTCACACTCTCTCTCTCAAGAAATGAAAAAGCTTTAAAACAATTAAATTTTTTTTAATGTTTTATTTTTGAGAGAGAGAGCAATAGAGAGATAGAGCACACAAGTGGGGGAGGGGTAGTGAGAGAGGGGGACACAGAATCCAAAGCAGGTTCCAGGCTCTGAGCTGTCAGCACAGAGCCTGACGTGGGGTTCGAACCCACAAACCGTGAGATCCTGACCTGAGCCGAAGTTGGACGCTTAACTGACTGAGCCACCCAGGTGCCCTTAAAAATTTTTTTTTTAATTAAAAAAAAAGTAACCTTTCCACCTATATATTAGAGATAAGCCAAATGAACGGGTAAACAACACACTGGGAAGAAATATTTGCACATATTTAACAGATGAAAGGTTAAGACTTTCATTAGGTAAGTAGATCGTACAAATCAGTAGGTGAAACAGTCCATTAGTGATCAAAGAATTCAAATAGTCAAGTCACAAAATAGAACAGATCGCCAGTAAAGGAAGGAAAAAAATGATCAACTTTACAAGTAATTAGAAATACAATTTCACACAAAAAAGTATCATTTTTCAACTCTTAAATGAGTGACAATTAAAGAAAGGATCCCACCCGCTGCTGGCAGGAATCAAAAGCCTCAGTGGCAGGGAAAGCTGAGTAATGTTCAATTACTTTGGGAAGTAATTTGGTGTTTTAAGTAGTCGTAACGATGTTCACATCTTTGGGTGTAAACCCTAGTGGAAGAACCCCAAATACGGGAAACATCAAATAAACAAGGTTGTTTGCTACAAAACTGTCATAGAGTAAAACTGGAATAATCTAGGTGTCCAGTAATAGGGGAAGAATTAAGTGAAATACAACATATTCATCCGAAATAGTAAGTGGACTTTTACAATGATAAAGACTAGGTTATGAAAAATATGCTTATTTAAAACATTTACTAAAAGATTATAAAGCTGTACATAAATGATGCCTTCAATTACGCTAAAATTGCACAAAAGGCTGGAAGGAAATATACACTGAAATGAATACAGTGATAGATAGGATAGTAGAACCAAGAGGAATGTTTCTCCTCTTTACTTTCCAAGTGTTCTCTAATATGATTATATTAACACTTCAGAAAATTTGTTTAAAAGAGAAATTACTGTAAAGCTAGTGAAATCTGAATAAAGTCTGTGGATTGTGCCAGTGTGGATTGCCCGCATGATATGATGCTACAGTCCTATAAGATGGGATCCCTGGGAAAACTGGGGGGGAAGGGCACATGGGACCTCTCCTACACTTTTTCAAATTCCTGTGAACCTAGAATTATTTGAAAATAAAAAGTAAAAACAACAACAACAAAGCAGACACTTTTTTAAAAATTGGAATTACATCTTTGATTTCTTGATTTTTGCTGAGAAGTTATTAGGGTCTATCTCGTGTTTGAGGTAGGGAGAAAAAAAGGGCCTCACTGTGCTGTGGGGCCAGCACCAGCGAGGGAGGGTGGGCAGGGTGGGCCGCACCTGGGCTGGTGAAGATAGGGGCGGACAGGTGGGAGTGTGAAGGGGAGCAGGACAAGAGGAAAGAGAAAGTGTGAGCTTCTGGGGAGGAAATGGAACATAATTAGTTTTTTTTAAATGTTTATTTTTGAGAGACAGACAGAGAGAGAGAGAGAGAGAGAGCAAGTATAAGTGGGGAAGGGGCAGAGAGAGGGAGACACAGAATCGGAAGCAGGCTCCAGGCTCCGAGCTGTCAGGACAGAGTCTGATGTGGGGCTCGAACTCATAAACCGCGAGATCATGACCTGAGCCACCAGGCACCCCAGAAACGGAACATAATTAACCTTTCCAAGTAAGAACTAGCAGGCAGTACCCTTTGTATCTCCTGTGTGATCTGCAAAAAGAGGCTATTTTAACCGCAACCACTTCACTCCGCCGGCTGCTTTTACTCGGACTTCCCTTCGGCTCAAGGTCGTGCTGCCCCATCTAGTATGCGGGGTAACTTTACAGGCTGCACGACCCATCAGGGAAGCAGGCCCCTCGGGTCCGATTCTCAAAGGCACCCCAGGAACACTCGTGTTTCTCTTTCCCTCTCCATACTTCCCGACAGAACGCCTGGGTCTTTCCAAAGAAGGCTCAGAAGGTGAAGTCCTTAGCTACTGGAAAAGGGGAGACGGTGAATAGGTGCCTTCCGGCCCCACCCTCCCCCTGCCCCTCCACTCCACGGTCCTTCTGGGCTCACCCTCCCAACTCCTTCCTAGAGGAGAGGGAACGTATCACGTACAGTGGAGAGTGTTTCAGCCTTTGGAAAACCGTCGGCCACACCATCTCCCCCCACCCTCTTTTTTAAGATTTTATTTTCAAGTAATCTCTACACCCAACCGGGGGCCTCAAACTCACAACCCTGAGATCAAGAGTCGCTCGCTCTACGGACTGCGCCAGCCAGGCTCCCCAGCCATACCATCTCTTCGAAGGCACACAGGCCTAAGAAATAACTTGAGGTGGATGGTATGTCTTGGTTTCCAGGGGATGAAGAAACGGAGTCTGGCCTGTGGGCCAGAACTGTCTGGGCTGTTACTCAAATGCCTGAGGAAAGGCCCTTGGGGGAGAGGGTTAAGTGTGCAGGACCCAGTGTGTCAGGGCAGCTGCCTTGCAGAAGGGTCCGTTTCCTTCTCACCCGACAACGTGCTGTGCTTGTAGCGTGAGCCACACGGTAGCCCACAGGTCCCCAGGCCCCTCTCTGGGCCCCTCACTTTCAGTGCGGCCCTTTTAGGCCGGGAAGATCTGAAACGATACCTAGTCCAACAACCTGTGGACGATACCGAGTTCTGCAGAAATGCTCTGGCGGCTGTTGGAAGAGAGAATGGAAAGGGTCCCTGGCAGCCACCTTATTCGTCCAGAGGACTCAGCCTTCATCTGTGTGACAGATGGAGATTTCACTTGAAAGAAGGTTCTGCTCCTAAAAAAATGCAGCTTATTGAGCCACAATAAAAAAATGCCGCATATGATTTAGCCGAAGGTAATTTATTTAATAGCAAAAGATGGTCAACACATGTCAATCGAGGTAAAAAATGTTATTTCCCATTGACTAATTTTCGAGAATCGGCGAATCACGTAAGTTGTGACATGTTAATAAAGCAGTACGAATTTTTGTAAGGAAACACAAGTTCTCCTCTCTCTCTATCCACCCATCAATCCACCCACCGTGCAAAAGATGACATGGAGGCTGAAGCAGACACTCTTTGCGGTCCACCCAATATTCATTCTCTCCTGACCAACAGTACTCTGATTCTACTGGCACGCAAATGCTTCTACTTAAAAATACTCCCCCCTGGGGCGCCTGGGTGGCTCAGTCGGTCGAGTGCCCGACTCCGGCTCAGGTCACGATCTCCTGGTTTGTGAGTCGGAGCCCCATGTCAAGCTCTGTGCTGACAGCTCAGAGCCTGGAGCCTGCTTCTGATTCTGTGTCTCCCTCTCTCTCTGACTCTCCCCTCGTTCACACTCTTTCTCTCAAAAATAAATGAACATCAAAAAAAACCTTTTTTTAAATAAAAACATACCCCCTTTTGCAGACTCCCTTGCAGCTAGGGGTCACGTGACCCAGTTCTGACCAGTAAGAATCCAGTGGAGGTCGCCAGCTGGAACCCTGGGAAGGAGCACCATAGAAGGGGCAGATTTGGCTGGTCTGCCTGTTGGGCCTTCTTCCTGACTTTATCATGGGTTTGTGCCGGGAGCTCCCTCTGCCATCTCGTGACCAAGAGGCCACAAGCATGTGAATGAGGGGCTCCCTCACTGAGGCAGAACTACCATGGAGTGGATGAAACTGAAGCTTCAAGACCCAGAAGAAGCCCTAGCAATGTGTTCACATGGTCCAATGTTTTTGTAACATTTGCAAAAGTAGGATATTTTAACTGCAAGCACTTAATACTGCTGTTTCTTTCTACTCTGACTTCCCTTGTCATACTTCCCTTCACGTTGGTGGCGTGGTGTTGGGATTTAGCTAAGGGGGGACAATTTGGGACTTAGCTAAGGGGGCGCTGAGTCTCAATGACATTTAATTCAGGTTTCGAATAGATTCATATGATTCCCAATCATGCACAGTCAAACCTTCGCTAGCTGTCCTGGGGTAGGAATGGCTTCTAGAAATTCCCTGCGTTGTCAGGGTATTTGTGAATAATCAGTGTGCAAGAAAACTTGAAATATCCCCAAATCTTACAGCTTATTTGTGGAAGACATTTGAGGAGGGAGTTCTCAAATTTAGCGACAATCCTAAAAATGTATACAACAGCATTACCAAAAACTAAATGTGAGGCCAAAAGATTTTTCCAGTCTATCAATAATGAGAAACAAAATTTGATCAAATATGTTACAGGAAGGACAAATTTCCTTTTCTCTCCGTGGAAAACATTACAGACTCATTATTATATAGGTAGAGGCAATTAAAAGGCATAAAACAAAAACCAACAAACAAAAACCCCTATAAGGTATGCAAGGCAGCTAATTAATAAAAACATCACTTTTCTGT